GTTGGTTGTCTGTGCGGATTAGAAAAGAGTACGCTTTTATGCCTATCGAGTCTTGACTACCTAAAAGTTTCTACAAAGAATTTAAACTAATTATAGTTGGTTATCCTCCTCTGCGTTCGCGGTCTTTTTGCAGTCCCCTAATGGTAGACGCGGATAACCTGGTCAATAACCGCTCAAATGGCCTTGGGGCTGTTCGAACGAATGGCCAACACCATATTTTATAATGTGTAAGTGAAACGTTCTCAAATATAGTAATATTTAATTGATCATTGTCACGTTATATATGAATTAAATAAACAAAACAAAAAAAGCTTTACCTTTAGTAGTCCGGACTGAGAAAATGACGCTCAAAACAAAGCATAGTTCAAGATGAACAAAGATCTGCATAAAACAGAGAAGCCGTCTAAATAGGTAAAACGACCCTAGAAAACGTCTATCGTGGAATCCGATGCCCAGAAGCGTAGCTTTGTAATCCGAACTCCTCAAGACACAGAAAAGAGAGAATCACGTTTCCTAATGGCAGATTCCTACGCTGATAATAATTCAAACGAAAGCTGCGTGTGTCCGTATTCCTCCCTCGCCACCTTCCTGCGTTTTCGAAGTGCATTATATATTATCACATTTACTTGTGCGAGTTTGTTTATAGTAAGCATAAATAGGCATATATAAAGGAACTTTACTGGATCATAAAGGTATAAGCAGAAACTTTGAGGACAAGAGCATAGTATCATAATGTACTGATACAAAATGGAAAATTAAACCAGTTGGTTTATTAGTTTCTGCGCTCAAAAAAGATAAAACAATGACGAATACAAAACGTTTTAAACAACTCGCGGCACCATATGTTGTACAGACTCTCGTTTTTTTATTTGTAGGTGTTTTAAGTGAGATGAATAATAGATAACAAATGCTCGATAAGGAGGGGCCTGCTAGACACTTGCGTTATAGGACCATTGGGCCATTTCCCGTTAATAAAGAAAAGCGTAATCACTGAAAGTTATGCCCACGTTCTTCAATGGTTGGTTGCTAAATATTATTAACAAATCATAAGGTAATACAATTGAGCGACCCGGAATAGGAAGAGCATGGGGCCTGGCAGCGACCAAACAAAAACGGCACGAATAGTAATGCATAACAAAAAGGAAGTAAAATCAAGAGCGCGGGGCTGGGATATGGCCACACCACCATCTGTCACTACGCTTACATGGCTACTCGTGCCTACAGTGCATGTCATTGGCATTTTGTAGTTACTTCAGTTTTGTTTTGTACGCTCCCGTTTGAAAAAAATACGCTCTGCAAAAAAAGAAAAAAAAAGAACCTTATACAAGAAGGCAATGCAGTTGATTATATCATTGGATGCCATGTTTGTTCACCACATGTCACTGTCAAAAGAGCACCAAGAACAGCCCGGGGAGGATCCAGTACCGACCGAGCTGTCAGCGAAGAATCGGTGTATTTTCCTAGTGGGATCCCATTCACGCTTTCTTGTCTTTCTGCATTGACTACGAAGGCGTTCGAGGCTATATTTACTCTCCACCTATTCCTTCAGCCCCGCTGGGCCCCGAAGACAAATGAAGCCGGTGACGCGTGAATTCGGGGAGCGAAAGTGTATTATTCACACGGGACTTCGGGCGAAGCACGAGGTAAGCTGATGCGACTTCCACGACATGGTTCGCGAGCTTCGCGCCGAACCCCCGGGGGCACTGACTAAAATGGGTACATCAGAATTTCTCGTCTTGAATTTCTTAGGAACTGGTCAAGACATCTCGTTCCGTCCGCGAGAGTAGTGGAAGTTTCGCGACTTCTAAGAGGACACGGAATTTGACTAAATCAAGATGTCTAGTCAGACCATCCTGAAATGGTTATTTGCGCACGAACTTATGCACATTTTACTCGTATTAGTTTGGTTAACTATAAAATGGAGTGCCGTCGTAATTCTAAATTGTAGTATTGCTTTTGGAGGTTGTCAAAAGGAAGCATTTTCCGCGATTAAATATGTAAGGTTAGGTGTTCGACGCTAAATACGCAAAGTACAACTTAAAACACGGCAGCCAACCAGAAGCGAATCAGGATCGCCAAAAGTTACGAATCTTTCCGAATATTGGCAATAAAAGCCAACTGGATAGCATACTAAAATTGTATAAACTTCTTGGTGCTAAGTCTCGAGGAATTATTAAAATAACTATATAAACAGTATAAAAATAGCACTCTTTTCACGTCAATATCGTATGAATAGCGTGTTATCAAGAAAAAAAAAGTATAACACGTCGCTTACACTGAACTATCAAAATGAACCAAACTGACCTAGGATACTTCTGCTCAAAATTCCATCGGCCTCTTCATCTCATACCTGCAGATAATAGAACATTTGTCGATTTTCAGTTACTTAAGGCTTAAAGGCGCCGTGCAGTTCTATTTAGGCGTCTATCTTTTTTGCTGTTTCCACATCTCTTGCGGGTCGGGCAACCCAGCGGGCACGGAGAGAGTCCCTAAATATCGGCGCGTCATATTTTAACCGGACGACGCGGAAACCTCCTCCTTCTACGGAGGCGCCCCGTGGTGCCGAACGCGCGTGGTATATGACGAATTCGTGACGTCGTCAGTCCCGGTCCATTGAGTTATTCTGTCGAAAATTGAAGAAGATAGCAACCAGTCGAAAATTAACTCTCGGAGAAAAAGTGAGTGCATTTTCTTTCCGCCCTTGATTATAAAAGCAAATATCACGAATAATTCGAACGTATATACTAGGTAGCTTGGAGCATATCTCAATCAGATGGACAAACTAATTTGTCCAGTTATGGCGTTTTTTTTCAAACTCATTGCGTTAAAAACGCTGCTAAAACAGCCTTGTACATGTATTTTTGTGCAATTTCAGACACTGTTAGCGCGAACATGACGTCGGCGATTTTCAGCGTGAAGAATATACGTGCCAAACGAACGAAGGACATCTGGAAAGCCAAAAGAGACGCTAAGAACTACGCAGTAAGACTGGACCATTAACTACCCGTGCATGTACGATCAAAATAAATTGAAGTTCACGTAATGTATTCCGATTTTAAATAAGTACAGCTTTGTTCTCTTGGTTCTGTGCAAAGTTACTTGTTCCATGTTCAAAACATCACCCGCACTCTCGAAATCTTTGAGAACAAGTGCCCGACAAAAGCTGCACGGCAGATAAAACAATACAACGAGACACCTTTCATAGCTCACGTACTTTATTTATTCTTCACGTTTTGAATGTTTTTATCCGCTCATAATGATGCACGACGGGGTTATTTTCATGCAACGACAGGACTGGCATATTAGCAATATATATGCATCACCGCGATGCTAGTGAACCTTGAACACACTCTACATTCCTTTCGATAGTTATTTTGTTTTGAATCGTCGCTTGTTTTTACGCACCGGCTGCGGAGGACATTTTCGGAACTAAAATGAATCAAAGTTAAACATTGTTTACTGATGAAGAAAAATGCACAAGCTAAAACAATTACACTTTTACGATGTTGATCAAAGTGCATACTATTCGGTACGACCGAAATAACCAAAGTGTTCTATGTTAATTTCCGACGAAGAGACAAAATGCACGCGCGTTTTCCTATAGGAATGCACATGAGTACCGCAAAAGTAGACTGGTTGCTGTCTGCTTCAGTTTGCGCCATGTAAGTTACATAGACACTAGCGCCCGTTGAACTTCTAGTGTACATAATTATAACCCTATGTCCGGGTGAGCTCCTGCCTTACAAGTGCTCAAAGCCGCTAAAAGCTCTTTTTTCTTTAGTCGAACTACAAAATATAAATGGTCGAAACTTTCCAATTATTCATCAAATAACGTTTTATTCAGTATTTTAGATGACAAAAGGGACACATGCTGCTTAAAAAGTACGGAAAAAGAAACAAAGCGCGATGATAGGTCGACATACCCGCCACCAAGCGGTGGAAGAGGCGGCGCAGTTCGGCGCAATCGTCCCCGCGGGTCCTAGCAGACGACTCACGACGCCGGCGGCACATTTTGCAAGAAGCGAAAGTAGGAATTTGTCTCCCGTGGTATCGCGCCGCAGGAGAGCCACCCGAAACTTGCCCGGATCACGAGCGTCGTCGAGTTGGGGCCGAGAGGCTTCGCCAGCGCGCTCCGGGCGCGTAGGAGGAATGTCCTCCCAGCTCTGCACTTCTACCGGGGATTCGGAGCTCCAACTCCGAGAGGCACGGTAAATTCATGCCGGCAAGCGCGGTAGAAAGCTGAAGCAAGCAACGAGCCACTGACGCGCATGCGGCTGCAGGGGAAGCGACCATCAACGTAAGCCGCAGCCGATTGGACAGTCGATTCGGTTCTACCCTTGGTCATTCAAGCCAGTACCAGGGACGTCATGAAGGAGGTTATTTTTTGCTCGTTTTTGTAATATTAATTCGCCTATAACTTTTAAAATAAAACAAATTTCTAGAAAAGAAAAGTTTCCCTAAGTTACTGCGTTCAGAGCGCTCAGGTTCGGTGCAGATTAAGACCAGTAAAAAGGTGGTTGCATGACCCCTTTCAGAAAGGCCGTACGTGGCTAGACGTGGTCATCATATTATTATTCCTTATACAGTGTAATCGCGGCATTTATTGATGATAACGACGAAGAACAAACTAGGGGAGCGGAAAGTGTAAAGATAATAGCATTTTTAAGCCATCAGTGACAATAGTATACAACTTTCCAGCATTTTTCGCCCCAGCGAAAAATTAAGTAAAAATGCCAAGTCAATGGGCTGTGAATGCAAGCGCGGTCACATAGTATTTTGCAGGAGAGAGAGCTATCGCGCATGTTAAAAACGCGCTTTGAAATCTAGTAGACAAAAGACGGCGCAGGAAGCGATGATCGTAATGGTCGATACAGACCGATGTGAAATAAAGAATATCCCGAGTCTGAGATAACAAAGGTAACCTAACTTTTTGAAATTCAGCATAAGCCTTCTTTGCTCTTGCAGCTTTAAAGAAAGGTGTAACGCCATAATGAGCTTACCTGGACCAGGAGTAGTCGTACCAGCGTTGAACCCTCCTCTGCATATTGTGCGGAACCTTGTGGTGCCGCATGTACAACTTCGCGCCGTCCTGGAAGATTACAGAAACAACGCTTAAATGCTTATGTTGCGTTTGAAGTGCAGTGTGCAGCTGCAGCACCGAACATATCTAACAGCGTTGCCGGGCAAACACAATTTTAATGAAAGCATCCGAGGTCATTCAAGGAGGTTATCACGGTCACAAAACAAAAATGATGTCAGCGCTGCAGTGTTGAAATTGTATGATGGGATCTAGCTGTTTTGAACCACAGGAAGTGTGCGAGGCATTCGCTGAGCCCACAAGCTCATGTTTTTCGAAACCTCACCCTTTTGAAGATTTTTCTGGCTGTTTGGCATACCAAAGTGTAACAGAGAATAAAGTGATGTGCTCTGTTCAGAAACTCAAACCGAAATTCTCAAGTGACTGTGATGGCATTCCTAGGTTTATCATCAAAGGGTTTGCTGAAATATTGGTCCCTCTCTTGACGTATTTATTTAATTTGTCTTTGGAATGTGAGGTTTACCGTTCACTCTGGAGAATTTCAGTTGTAATACCTGCTCTTAAGAATCTGGGAATTCTTATGGTGCTAATAACTTTCGCCCTGTGTTCCTTCATTGTGGATTTTCAAAGGTTGACGAAATGGTGGTTTATGAACGCTTGTATTCCTATCTTGAACAGAATATTTCACCTGTACAACACGGGCTTTTCAACGGCAAGTCAGTAAAAACAGACTTAATTGCTTTCCTTTGTCACAGAGGAACCGCCGCATGTAACATCAGTCAGATGGACACAATTTTCTTTGACATAAAGAAGGCATTCGATCAGTTCGACCAGGAGATACTTTTGATGAAATTGCAAGAATATGGATTTTGTTCATTGTATTGCGCATGGTTTAAGACCTAGCTATCTCGATATTCGCCAAAATCAGGTTAGATTTTCAAATTCTGTGTTTGAGCCATTTGCATCCTTATCTGGCGAACTACACCTTGGAGCGTTTTTGTTTTTGGCGTTTGTAAACGACTTACCATCGTGGATTAGGAACTCAAAAATGCTATCGTTCGCCGATTACTTAAAACTGTTCCGCAAAGTAGACAATCAGGATGACTGTTTCTTGGTACAAAACGACGTCCGCTCCATTGAGCAATGGTGTTTAATTAATAGGCTGCAGTTGTACCTAAAAAATACGCTATAATCCGTTGCAACTCAAGAAGGTAGGGCGAGGGAAAGGAAGGCTGGGGAGGAGGAAGCAGACGGAACGCTGTAGAAAAGAGGGGAAAACTTCCTCCTCTCTTTAGTGTTCTGTCTGCTTCCTCCTCCTGATCGTTCTAATCCTCTGATAAAAGCAAAGGTTTATTATAATGTACTCTACACTGTAAGAAATGCCTGCGCGTCTTCTTACCCGCAAAGCACTCAAGGAGCCAATCTGTGCGATCTAAAAAATCAGCTCAGCGCATGATGATGCGGAACATCCGTTTAGACCTAAAAATGACGTTTGCGCTGTGGCATTACGCAATGCAAAGCGTCATGTTTGCATTGCGTCATTCCACAGCGCAGACTTAATTTTGAGGTCTAAACAGATGTTCCGCCTCATCATTCGCTGAGCTGATTTTGTAGATCGCATAGATTGGCTCTTCGAGTGTTTTGCGGGTGACCAGACGCGCCGGCATTTCTTAGAGTGTAGAGGTGCAACTGGGGCTACACTCTAAGAAATGCCTGCGCGTCTACTTACCCGCAAAACACTCGAATAGCCAATCTCTGCGATCTACGAAATGAACTCAGCGAATGATGAGGAGGAACATCCGTTTAGACCTAAAAATTAGGTCTACGCTGTGGCGTTACAAAATGCAAGCATGGCGCTTTACATTGCGTAATGCCACAGCGCAAACGTCATTTTTAGGTCTAAACGGATGTTCCGCATCATCATTCGCTGATATTCTTTCGCAGATAGTAAATTTTCGCTCTTTGAGTGTTTTGCGGGTAAGTAGACACGTAGGAATTTCTTAGAATGTGCTGTCGCAGGTTGAAGCAGAGAGCAAGTCGAAAATTGACTTCCGGTAATGCATTTTTACGGCAAAAAGTGAGTGCATTTTCTCCCTGCACTCGATCATAAGAGCAAATATCCAGAATAATTGTTACGTACTAGGTAGCTTCGAACATTTCTGTCAAGCAGACGGAAAAATTGGTCAGTTACGGCGTTTTACTTTCAAATTGATTGCATTAAAAACTGTGCTGAAACGGCTTGGTACATGTATTTATGTGCATTGTCGGACACTGTTTGCGCGAACACGACGTCGGCGCTTTTCAGCATCATATATGTGCCAACGAAAAAAGGGCGTCTGCAAAACCAAGGAGACGACAAGAACTACGCAGTAGCACTTGATCAGTAACTCGAGGTGCAAATACGATCAGAATAAATTGAAGGCCACGTAATATAGTCCGATTTTAAATAAGTACTGCTTTATTCTTTCTGCTTTGTGCGAAGATACTGGTTCTACGTTCAAAACATCACTCGCACGCTTGAAATCGTTGAGAACAAGCGCCTGATGAAAGCAGCCCGGCATAAAAAATAATGAAAAGAGAGATCTTTCATAGCCCACGTACTTTATTCTTTACGTTTAGAATGCTTTCAACCGCTCGTAACGATGCAAGACGGGGTCATTTTCATGTAGTGACAGGACTGGCATATTAGCAATATATCAGCAACCCCAGAATGCTGGCAACCCTTGAACACACCCTATTTTCCTTTCGATTGTTATTTTGCTTAGAATCGTCACTTGTTTTTACACACCCGCTGTGAAACGCATGTTTGGGCCCGAATTGTAGCGAAGATAAACGTCGTTCACTAACGAAAAAAAAAATGCGCTAACTAAGGCAAGTACACTTTTACAATGTTGATATGGTAGTTACTATTCGGCACGAGCCAAATAATAAAAGTGATCCATGTTATTTTCTGGGAAAAAAACAAAATGCACGAGCGTTTTCCCAAAGATCTGGATAGGAACACCGCAAATGTAGACTGGCTGCTGTCTGCTTCGGTTTTTCCCCGCACTCTGAAGTCGCATAACACTAGCGCCAGTTGAACTTGTAGAGGTCATTATAATAACTCTATGAACAAGAGCTACCAAAGTCAGTGGCAGCTTAAAAGAACGGAGAGCGCGACGAGTTATGAGAGTCTCATTATCGCTCATCGGTCAATAAGACTGCGGTATTTGAACCAAAGAACAAATCAAGAAGCAGGAAGCGTGATTCCAATGGCACACTAACTTCCGTTTCATCAGCTGTCAGTGACTAGCGATGAAAATAAATGATGAGTTGGGCTCGCTAACTATAACGATCATCGCGCGTCTGTTTAGGAAAGCAATCCCATAAACGACGTCATCTAGCTAATAAAGGTTTCCACAACGTGCACGACAAAACGGTCTGGTTATTACGCCAGATTCATTTCTGAAAGAATATATAAATTATTTAAGGTTCAAATGCGTGGTTTGGTCCTTTAATCCTTTTTTGTTTATCTTTCATTATGTACGTTGTTGTTTTATGCAATATTTTTAGATATGTACTTCTGTAACGTTTTTAAAACCCGAGTTTGACTCGAAAAGCTTGTATAGGACGATTAGAAAATGTTGAAAAAAAGCTGACGACAAAAGCATTCAAAATCTGGAACCTTGATATAGGGAACAAAAACAAAAACAATAGCGGGCGGTGCAACATATAATATCACTGACTACAAAACCTTATTTGTGTTAAGAAAACTGAACGGGTGTGCACTCTTTTGTTCCGAAAGTACACTCGAGTGTTTAATTAAGTTCTTTTTACACTGGACCAACGCGCTCGATTCAAAACGTGCATATATATAAAACCTAGGACTAAGCCAACATTGACAAGTTCGTCAATTTGCTGATTTTTCACTTTCCCGAGTCCTTGTCACTTCGTTACCGCGGCAAGAGGTACGATGAAGCTGAATTATGAGAAGTATTATTTATGCTCGGTGCTGTTGACGTCAAGAATATATTTTCTAAGAAGGATATATTTTGTTAGTATTTCCACTTAAGGCTACAATACGTGTTAAACGGGAGAAGTTATCCGGGGCTTAGGGTAACTTTAAGATAACAATAGAAAAAAAAAAGCCACAATAATATGAGAGAAGTGTCGTCTATCAATATTTATTATACGTCCTGTTGAGCTATAAAAAAAAAAAAAAACTTCTGCTGTTGATTTACATTGTGAACTGATGTCCCACTCTTGCTGGCTTCGATAGGAAAGACATTCAGGCGGCGCAAATTTAAAATAGATGCTCGCCCCCCCCCCCCCTCCCCCTCCCCTCCTTATCAAGCCGACAACCCTGACTGACATAAGGGCGCACACCAGCGTCAGGGAAGGCATGCGCCCCAAGGCATCAGAAAATCGGCGCCACCATGCACTGCGCAGGATAGTGTCACGTGACCTGACGTCAAATGGCAAAGTGTCATGTGACCTGACATTACATTACAGTGACGTCACGTGACACTGTACGACTTCGTACCGCTTGTCGCGTGACCAAACGTCAGCCAACGTCAGATCACATGACGTGCCACGCATGCCACAAACGATCACGAAATCTGAGTTAGCTTCTGTTAAGGTATGATTCCATAGAGGCCTCGGGGTGGACACCAACGCAATAAGGTCATTAAGCAGCGTGAATATATTGAATACGAGTGAATAGGAACGACACATCTATACTAAACGTTGCCTAAGACATCCTTAGCTGTGAATTAGATGTGCGTGGTCCTTAAAGTTCGCGCAATATTATGTAATATTGAAGCATTCAAAGCAGATAACGTGGAATATAGACTGAGGAAGGTGAAGTACTTACCAAAAGTCGTTCGAACTCCAGTCGGCTCGCATTTCGGTTAGTAATTACATTGCCTACTTGTCCTGAAATGAAAGCGAACAAGTTGTTTCACACAAAGGGATGTTTCACTGTTTTGGTTGATTATGCTGTGTCGCACTCTGATAGGACCCTGTTCGTTGACTTTCTCAGATCTTTGATGATTCGGTTGCAAACGTTTCGTGACGATATTTGAAATGAACATCATCGTCGAATCCTGCGAATCCTGAATTTTCTTTGATGCCGTTGTGTGCGAACCCTGATTTAAAAAGGACGTGGAAAGGATACTAAAACTTAAGACTAAAATTAGTGCTGATAGCAGTAGTGGCAGTAAGAGTAGAATATGAGTAGTACAAGCAGTAGTAGAAGTATTAGCAGAAGGAATAGTGTAGGTAACAAAAGTAAAAGCATCAGTAATAGCAGTACAAATCATCGTTATATATGGAGGCATTTCTGAGTGTAATAAACACACCACGCTTTCTGCGCTATATTTATAGGTCATTGAAATGGCTATTAGGCCACCGTTTATGGAATTAAAGATAATTTCTAATCACTATATAATCAACATTTTGTTCAAGGTTATAAGCTCTGTTGGTGGCCTGAAACACTTAAGATATGTCTCAGCTTCAACGTTTGCTGAATTATAATTTATTATACTTCACTTAATAAACAAAGTGCTCCCAAGTCAGAGACTATACATTATTAACCAAGGTCCCCTTGTATAAATTCCTAACGGTTTATTGCAGCACCCAATCAGTCAAAAACAAAACTACTGTAAACCAGATTAGTTCATGTTTCTACCAATCCAGAAAGGCTATGCGCGAATCAATGTTCATAATTGATAGAACAATTTGACGTTTAGCTACATAAAAGTCAAAAACCATTTTCATATCACTAAAAGCAGTTCACTCTTAGGATACGCAAAAATTCCACAAGAATTTGTTTCGCAGGTTCATTTCCCAATTAGCCAAAACACTTGAGTTCGACAGAGGTTAAAAGTGTAAACTAATCAAGCTGTTAAACAAAAGAGATTGGGAAACAAGAATGGATGCTTTAAATCTAGGAAATGTTATAAATGTTACAGATCTTACATAGGAATCATTCATACATACCTACAATGGTCGCAAATATGAATACTCCGATGAGATAACATAAAATGGTGAATATGTATCTGAAAAGAAAGAAACGCAAAATATGAGTTATCCCACTCATTCCTGAAATTATTCCTTCCCAATCACACTTCATCATATTCTCATTCCGCAGCGGTTGAGTTGTTCTCTTATCATATACGAATTCCACACATATGGCAGGCGTGTCGCACATATAGAGTAAATGACGTTATTCTCTCAGTTGCTTGTTAATTATGTCGCGTAATTGGCTGGATTCTTCTATTTGGTTTCAGCGTCTATTTTTGTCAATGACAGCACTACTACAATATTTGTGCTTTTCAACTTTACAGGCAAAACTTACGAGTTTAGATCTTTTGTGGTGCCTTTTATTTACTCTTTTATCGCAACCTCTTCGTAAATGAAATGTTAAACACCCAGAGAGTGCACGCTGGGCTTATGTTAAAAGATACAGAGCTTGCTAACCAAATGAACTTAAAATGCGGGATTTAGCGAGCAAATACTGAACTCTCTTCGTGCCATCTTCAAAGGCGTAGTTGGGGTATGTTATGAAACAAGGCACCCAAGTCACCATAAGAGACTCCCGATGCTCGTATCAGGCAACGGTAACGATCTTGCCATTTATTTTGCGGAAACCGGGCGACGTATCGCCTATTATCCGTTCCCCCTTAAGTTGACAGTACGGTGTAAGTTATAGGCGGTCGCCGGACCAATGAGCTGCCTCCCTTGTACCACCTGACCCTGCTCTTTGCGCGTGGGTAAGGGTGGGCTGCGCTATCACGTGGCAAAGGATAGACGTACGACTAGTCTAACGAGCACGTGGCTTCCACCGCACAGTCAGCTTGGGGGTGGACGAAGTATAGACACTACGCGTCTCCTCGCCACTCCCCCGCAGGGGAGCGGAAGGATCGAGAAGACAGGAGTTCGCTACTCTACACCGCGGTATCTCGTTCGAAGCACCACACTAAGCCTCGCTGCAGGGAACGGCGCTACGCCGCGTCTGTCCGTCGTCCTTGTAGCAAGCCGTATATCTCGGAACAGTATTGGTTCGGTCGTTACAAGCGAGCCTGGGATTCAGACCCGAGTAGGGAGCGGCTGAAACCTATAAGAAGAACAGAACAAAAATTAAAGCTAGGCTGTAGGAAGAATGATTACTAAGTCCTCCGTTCGTTGACCGGTCGAACGGATCATTGGGGGTTCCGAGTTGCCGATGACGGTCTGATTAGAGAGCTTCCGGCAGCGGATGCCAGTGGAGGCTTTCAGCCGGAAGGAGACTTCCGGCTGGCTTTTAGATTAGCAAAATTCACAAAAACAACAGCAAAACAAAAATCAAGAGTGACGGTCGAGAGTTGGCAATTTTGTCCAGTGAAGCCGTGCACATATGTCACTGTTAAGAAGTAAGCGACTAAAATACACCCACCTTTTTTTAAAACTACGCGCCGTCTAGTGACTACTGCGCAGACACTTTACTAAAATAAAGTAACTAAATACCGTCACCTCTGGGTGTACATTACTCGTTACCGAGATGTAAAATGTAGAAGTTGCATGCGCTTTAGAGTAATGCGTTATATGCTGGTGCTGCGTTCCTATTGGGCTCGCGTGCGCGACGGGTAATAACCCAGACAAGCAGGAACGTTACTAAAACATTTACTTAAAACCAAACCAATGTAACTGGACAAAGAACGTGGACGTCCGTCGGTCAGCAAGGATCGAAGGTGATCTCTCGCGCCTTCTGCCTGTTCCTTCAATCCTCGCGCATCCACCGAGTTCGGGTCCCTCCTTTTTCTCGTCTTCAACTTGTCGATCCCCGAGGCCTGCAGGAGCTTCGGCGAATGTTGGTTTGGCAAAGGGCACGTGCCGCCACACTGGTTCAACTGAATGTGTCGTTTAGAGGAAGCAGTAGCCGGTGCCGATATTTGTCTTCGTTGATAATTCCTCGATTTTGATCGCGTTATCTCGAGGATAACTATAGTCGGTTACAAGTCAAGAAGGTAGGAGAAGCTCCTCCCACAAGTGTGATGCACCCGTTTCAAATCTCTCCGCAGTCGAAAGAAGAGTTCACTGGAAACGCTCCTTGTTCCGCTTCAATGGATTCCCACTTGTCTCCGATCCCACTTTTTAAGAAAGCGACCTTTGTATTCATTGGAGAGGGAACCGAGCCCCTGAAAGCAGCCTTTGTATCCATCGGGGGGGAAGCTAATCCCCGAAAGTCGGATTTGTTTCCGTCGGTGGGGGAACTCTAATCTCCCTCTCGTGGCTTCCACAATGCTAAGTCAAAGTCGAAAGGTAAAGCAAATATGTACAGAAAGGCAAGACCCTCCTCGCGCGTTGGCCGCGACGTCACGGAAATGGTGGGACGCTATTGGATGCGGAGGTGGCGGAGGGATATCCGATTCCCTTTGAGGGGCATTTGCCGCTACCTTCTTAACCTGTAACTGACTATAGGACCATACTGACACACCTTGTGTGAATCTTTTTATGGTTTATCTCACGTTTTCACGTCGTGTACATTAGAGGCGCTAGCTGAGACGAGACCTAGGTTGTGCGCTTGTGTTCCACACGTTCCCCCTCAGAATTAATACTTTTACTCGTTATTTCGGAAAAAGGTAACGAAACTAGTTAGTGTCGTCTCTTAAATCGTATAAGTCGTTATTCCGTTACTGAAAATGTAACTAGGATCAAGTAATGCGCTACACGTAACGCGTTACGTACAAGTCTGCTGCTGCGACAATAGACTATTTCCAAAACTCCGTGCACGCAACACCGCGCGCGTTACATTATGGGACCACTTTGGCCCAAGAGAGGAGTGGTGTGGTTTCGGTTTCAATTGTGCCATTGACGAATTTAAAAAAAAAATTGTTGTGTGTATGTTTATACAGCCGGAAGTTAGTCTGCCTCAGTGGGAGTCTGGTGTCTCAGCTGTAGATGCGCAATTTAGCCAGTGCGGTACAACCGCTAACCTGAAGTCTTTAACGTGCAAGACGTAGTACTGATACACGACCGCACGCCGATACGATGCTCATCCAGATCGAAACGGGTAGGGGCCTGGGTTCTGCAGCGCGAGCTTTCGCTCTATGTGCTCCGAGCTGGTGTGCGCTAGAACACTCGGCCACCGACCCCCCCCCCCCCCCCCCCCCCCCCCCCCCCATTAGTGAAGCTCAGCACTGTGTAAATATAAAATCAGCGCTCGCTTGAATCACAACTATTCATATTTTTTTAGAGGCTCCGTTCAAACACGGATCTCCAGCGGCCTGAGGACCTGACTTAGCAAGGGGTTTAGGGATATTGCCAGCCGCCTACCAAATCCTTTCTGGTGGCCTGGATACCTCTCCAGAATGCAGCATGACTCTCCCGACTCACGAATCATTTACGAAGCTTGGCACATTCAGGAGACAATACGAGTAGAACAGGATGGTTGGTCCAGTATACTTCTTCCATCTGCTATCGTAGTCATGCGTTTACGTGAGCAGAGAGTCTGGCCCGTCGGGAGCACCCCAAAGCGTTTCCATGCCTTCTATCCGTATGGGTAGGCGATACCAATTGTATTAAGCAGGGTGCAAGTCTGTCGGCTTTTTGCGTACCTCGTGCATTTTTTACTCTCCCCCCCCCCCCCCCCCACCCCCAAATGCAACCACGTGCGTTTGTTTCCCGCCGGCCTCAACCAATGACTGTGCGAGCTCGGCTGCCTCGTCATCGCGAGCTGTCTACGTATTTTCTACGTTGCCCTTTGATTGGAGTGCCCCTCTTTGCGTTTTGATGCACCGATTTCGCATTTTACAACACTTACTCGCCGTATAAACTTATGGAAAGTTATTCAAAAAGGAAAACGCTGTATTTGTTTGTGACGGGATAACGTGAAGTGAGATCGGAAAACCGAAACCGAAGCTGTAGCCAACGAATCCCACGATGCTTTTCGCGGCACTACGCTGCTAAAATCGCATTAATCCTGAAAAAAAAATTAGGTGGCGCAAGTAGCCACCCGACTCAAAGGGTTCAGTCTCATTCATCCATCCATCCATCCGGGTCTATTATCCGCAACGAGGTAGAGGGACTTAGAGTGATAAACCGGAAGTTCGAAAGTAGCACCTCCCCCCCCCCCGGGTTGCCGCCATGTTGTACGCAAAAGTGACCACCCGTCACGTGACCTCACAAGAGTTGTGACATCACCGGTAAGATGGCAGCGCCTAGAGCTGGCGGATGCGAGTTTGTTCGGTGCGCGGTAGCCGTGATGTGAAGCTGCTTTCCGACGAATTCGGGCTTTTTTGTGCTCGCTGACGCAGGTGTAACGTTAAAACATGAAGGAATGATACCTTTCACCATTTTTGCGCAAGATCGCTCTTGATCATCTGGATATTAACGCCTGTGAGACAGCATCAGCCGTATCGCCGTACCGGTGCTCGGATTTCCGGATGTGTTCGAGGATCAATAGAACTTTGAGTGCTTTTAGCGTAAAATTTTCGCATTCTCTTAGCTTTGTTTGAACGTTGGAAAGTCTGAGAATTGACGCGAAATGTATGCGTCGGACGTACGGCCAGGGGAGTTCCCTTGGGTAACTGCATAATCACAGCCAACTTTTAGCGAGGAAGCTTTTGCGAACTTTGCGTTTTGCACTTATCAACAATTTTATGATATTACTCCTATCATAAAATATTCGCATTTGTCTAGCTTCGTTTGAACGTCTGAGAATCGAAGCGAAAGTTATACGTCGCGTTAGGGTCTAATGGAAGTTGTTTCAGCCCTGCGTCACTGAATAACCATGGAAACTTTTAGCGAAGGAGCTCCTGCGATCTTTAACCTTTTGTGCTAATCACGATTTTAAATTCGATCGTTTTTCTTCCTTTTTTTTTGTAAGTGCGAAGTGCACAGTTATTTTCAGCTGCAAGGATGACGTTTTATTGAGTGTGGGGATGAATAAATCGTTGCAGGCACCTGTTTCAAAGCTATTCGACTTGCTATAAGAAAAACCGTTTTGGTGTACGCATAGATTAACTGTACATTTTTCTCTTTCGTAAGATTTATTGCAGCAATACTTTTTTTCACCAAG